GATAAGCTGCACTGATTATCATTGTAAATGCTGTACTCACTGTGCCCCCACAGATCGGCTCTCCTTTCCTTACATGCTGTCCCTGTGTTAGGAAAGGAGAGCCGCGATAACTGGCAAACTGCTGTTTACATTGTGACAGCTGTGATTGGACACAGCTGATCACATGGTAAAGGGCCACTGTGATTGGCCTTTTACCACGATCTGTAATCAGCTTTGTCCAAGGCACACAGCAGTTATAGAGCGTGCCCCAGGAGAAGTGCAGGAGGCATGGATGTCCTCCCAGAACTGGAGAGCTGTGCTATAGTTGTCTTTCAGGCCAGGTTGGGAGGCGATCAAAGTGGAATTCTGGCTATACAGCTAACTAGCCTTAAAACTCTCCCCTTCACCCTCTGAACACGAAAGATTTATATACTTACCTATCATATGTCCGCCAACGTGGTTTCAGGGGAAGGAGGGAGTGCTGACAACAAATGGGCCATTGAAGCCTATGGGTGATGTCACCACTCCAGGCTTTACTAGGCTTGTCAAAGTGCTCACTCTTCTCCCCTACAGCTGCCGCTACTGACACAGGGGATCATGTGACCAGAACAAGGTGAAAATAGGTAAGTATATGCATCATTCTTACACAAGTTATTTAGTGTAGGTGTTAGGAGGGGGTCGTTTTAAGACTAGTTAGGCGCATAGCTGGAACTTCACTTTAATCGCAGAGATCTCTCTGATGAAACCCCTTTTAGGTGTTCTGCACTAGACAGGGTGAAGTCTCACTGGGATACATGTTGCGCACCTGAATGATACATTTCTCTGAGCTTGGGATACTTCAAAGTGCAGTTTCTTTTGCTTTCATGACCTTTGAGGAAGGGTGGAGAACACAGGTCTATTTTTTGACTATTAATAAGAGTCTACAATGTTTTCTGTATATTTTTTCTTTATTATGTCCACAACTAAAAATATATATTTCTTACAAATGTAATAATTTCATACTCACTACCTGCCAGCAGGCGGCAAGTTCTACACAGTATCAGCAGCTTTCTGGAGGCTCAGATAACAGTTGGGGTTATCAAACATACCTGATCTGATTACATACACTGCAGAATGAGAGGTAGATTCAGGACATCTCCCCTCTCTGTTTAACATGTCATTTAAAGTGGGCACATCTGAATGACTTAGCAACACACCGGCTGCAGCAAACAGCCATAGTGACCTTTTTTCTATTAAAAACTCGGCATTCTTCTTTGTGAACAAAGTATCATGAATGCACCCTGTATTAAATGAATTTGTAATATAAAGATTTTCTAGGAACAATTTTTAAAAATATATATATAAAATATCAGCTTATAAACCGGTCAACTGTCAAAAAATTGCAATTAAAATGACCAAAAAATATACTTCCCTTTTTTTTTTTTAAATAAAAATATTTATGAAGAGTGCAGCAGCACCTAGGATATTTTCAGTAACTCGGTAACGCTACTAAAATTGCTATCGATTAATCTCTACAGCAACTTTTGAACCACTTTTGAGTTCATCTGACTACCAGAATTAGGTCAGTTGTGAAGTCAAAATTTGGCTAAAAATTGACAGTTTCAATGCAGTTCACTGAAAGTCGATTTGACAAGAATTGCCAATCAGAAAATGATGGCATCAGAAATGATGGTGATTTAACCTAAACCAATCAGATTTTTCCACTGCATTTGATCAGGCAAATTTCAACTCCAGCTCTGTGCGGTTGATGGGAACATCATATTATGTCAGATTGCTTTTGCAACTTAATTAAAAAAAAAAAAAATCAAAGTTGTCTTCTTCATCAACTTTCAATGTGCATGGCCAGCTTAAGAGTAGCAATCGATTGCTATGTAAATGGCTCCCAAAGGTGTAAAGTGCCCAATTAAAATATACAAGGGGTGTTCAAGTCAAACCGGGACTTTTGAGATTATTTAACAAAAGAGCAAATTCAAGGAGTGGAAACTGTATTTGTTTTGCGATATACTCCCCTGCTACATTTATACACACATCCCATTTATCTAATGCCTGGAAAGCTTCGGCATAGAAAGATTTGTCAGTTTACCTGAACCATCCTAGGACAGCCGGCTCCACTTCATCATCAGTGCTGAAATGCTGACCACAGAAAGATTCGTCTCTTGTGCAATCTCAGAACAGGTTATGTGTTGATTATCCAGGATCAGGTGTTCCATGCGCTGAATGTTCACAGGAATGACTGCTGTGGGCTGGGAACCCCCGCGGCCGGGATTGTCACTGACGGACATACAGCCATATTTGAAACATTTACACCATTCAAATGTCTTACTGCGGGTGAGCATCTCATCACCATACTGTGCTTGAAGTCTTCTGTAGATTTCCGTGAGTTTTATGCCTTCATTCACAAGAAAGTTCATCACCACATTCTGTTCCATGCACACGCTAACACTGCTGTCTGCCATCTTGATTACTGGTCTCTAGACTGGCCCGTGACCTGTGCGCTGCCTATTAGTAATAGGACACACTTGCCTCTTACTACTGCATGTAGTACCGCCACGCTGGCATCCCTTTTTATACCTATAAAATTAAGAGTTCCGGTTTGACTTGAACGCCCTCATATTAGAGATTAGTAACACAGATTGGAAGTGTTGAGCAATCACGGGTGATCAATCACTACTATATTGTATACTTGTGCATCTTACACCATTGGGATGCAGTTGTTCCATCTGTGCTGCACTGAATTGGTTAGATATTAATCACTAGTGAGTTTAGTAACATTTCAGAACTACAGAGAAGTGACTCTGTCGGGGCCAAATTTACGATTAGGCACAGTAGGCACGTACCTGTAGGAGGCAGAAGTAAAGAGGTAGCTTTTCGCTTTATGGCTATTGGCCAGATGTTTTTTTTCCCCATTATAAGAAATTCAGTCATTGTACTTACACATTAATGGTATGTTTTAGACCAGGATGAGTAAAACAAGAACATAATCTGTGTAAAAGGAATTGACTTTGGTGCGTAAGGTTGCGTGCCTACCGGCTCCAGTGGTGACAATCTGGCCCGTTTGTGCATTGTTGCATTAACCTATTAATACTGTTATAGATTCTATTATAGGGGTGGAGGGGGCGGCATGGCGGGATGGAGGGGCGGCATGGCGGGGTGGAGGGGGCGGCATGGAGGGTGGAGGGGGCGGAATGGCAGGGTGGCATGGCAGGTTACAGCACAATTGTGTTTAGGGCAGCTAAGCTTTTTTATCTTTATTTTTGTATACATTTTATTTCCATCACTTTATCCAAGTGATCCCTAAAGGATAAGTACTCTTTCAGACAAACTGCACTTATCCTGGTTGCCCCTTTAAAGTGGTAATAACTCGATTTGAAATTCGTACCCACAGGTAAGCTTACAGTAAGTCTTAGCTGTAGGTACAGTGAATATCTTCTGAATTTGGACCGTTTAGGACCGTCATGGGCTCTAACTGATGACATCACTGCACATGCAACGTGGTGCATCCAGGTCTCGCTGAGTGTGCCGTGAATGTAGAGCGCCATTATACGGTGATAACTCTTGTGTGGAAGTGACATCACTGCAACGCAAACCTTGAAGGAAGACCGGGTAAAGATAAGAGTGCTGTCTGCAGAGACAGCACAGTGCTGGAGGACTCGGTTTTAAAGGTGCGTCTGCCATAATGAGCTAGTATGTAGTGCATAGTAGCACATTATGCCATAACACTGCAGGGGGGCCCATTAAAAAAAAAGGTGGTAGAGTTTTTCTACCGCTTTACGTTGACCTAATAAGTCTCACGACACCTTTTCAAAGATCCATACTTATGTCAGTCTGCGGGATGTGGCCTTCAGGGGTTTATTTACATCCCACATTGAAAGTCCTCTGTCCCCTGGACCTGCCTATGCAATAGAGCCCCATAGAAATCGATTGGACTCAACTCTCCGGCAGGAGACAGAGATAGGTGGGAGCCATAGACTACTATAGGGCTCTGCTGCGCGGCACAGCTAGTAGACATGGTGGTGCAGAACTTAAACAATCCTTGGATGCCACAACTGTTGAACTGAGGTAAGTATGCTTCTCTGGAGGGGGGGGGGGGGTGTGTGATTGGTTAGGTCACCGAATCGGGGCAAACAAGATAAGCTCACTTTGTTTGAATGCGCACTTATCCTTTATGTAAGCAGTACTTAAAAACGTATTCGTTATTAGAAGGAAAGGCTATGCAATCTTCCACTTGTTTAAACGTATCTTCATATTTCCTGCATATGGTTTCTAAGAAATTGCAATGAAAATACCTTTATTATACTGCTTCCAGTTGGCTACATGACTGCAGAGGTCCAGTGAATGTGTTTATCTGCAGCTGGTGGGCATTAACTCTCTCGGGCCGACAACACCTTGGAGCTATGAATGTTGGTAGGATGACGTCATTGCTCTATGGTTTCAGCAGCGTTGTCGGCCCTCCACACTGAAGACACACTTGCTGGAACTTTGCAGTCAAGTGACCACTTGGAAAAAGTTTATATTTGCAGTGAGATTTATTAGAAATTGTACACATAAAATATAAGAGCAGTGGAAAGGCAAAATGTAAATGGTGGATTATTGTATAAACAAGGGGTCTGCAAACTATGCCCCTCCAGGTGTTGAGGAACTGCAAGTCCAATGAGGCCTTGCAAGACTCTGACAGCCACAGGCAAGACTCCCAGAGGCAGAGGCATGATGGGACTTGTAGTACTTCAACAGCTGGAGGGCCATAGTTTGGAGGCCCCCTGGTAAACTATATAAATTTCTAGAGGTCTTCTTTATATACCAGCTCCACTTTTTAAAGGTCACTTCCTGCCTGGCTCCTGGACCTGTCCAGTCCTAGCTGGATCCACCTAGCACTATGCTATTCCTACATTACAGTCAAAGACTAGAAAGTTTTTAGTAACGTCCTCCCGCTAGATCTTTTTTCACAGAACAAATGACAGCAGTTGTTGACCCTCTTGCTCCCTCTGTAACACTGTGAAGTGACAGTTGGTCCAATCACCATCTCAGCTTATGTGGTTCAGCTCCCGCGCTCTCTTCTTCAGATGCCGCTTGCGGATTTTGATCATCCACTTCACGCTGAGCTTGGCAAAGTCGGCAGCCTTAAATAAAACCAGAAAGACGCCGCAGAGCAGAGCGATCATGCTCCAGGGGTTGGCAGTGATGATCTGCAGACCGGGAATAAAATAAGGAAAGGAAATAACTAGAGACAAGCAGATTAGGAGTGTATGAGAAGCAGATGTGAATTGGAATACTCGCTATCCAGCTGTCATGCATCCTCAGTACCAGAAGTGTGAACACAGCTCACATCTACAGAGGAAACAGACAATGCTAGTAGACCAGTGTTTCTCAACTCCAGTCCTCATGGACCCCAACAGGTCATGTTTTCAGGATTTCCCTCAGATGAAACAGCTGTGGTAATTACTAAGGCAGTGAAACTGATCAAATCACCTGTGCAAAATAATGGAAATCCTGAAAACATGACCTGTTGGGGGTCCATGAGGACTGGAGTTGAGAAACACTGTAGTAGACCAACATCGTTAGGCAGTACTATGTTCAGACTTAAAGGGACATTAAACTCAGAATCAAAAAGGTAATATAATGCAGGTTACTAATTCTTAGATGTAGTGACTGCATTAGTTTTTTGGCTTATTTCCCTTTCTCATTTATTTATTATTATCCCTTTAGTATTTATCCCAAAAGAAAAAAAAAAAAACTGTTGCTGTAAGGCCTCGTTCGCATGGGGTGTACTAGGGTATATGCCCATGTTAGGGCCATGTTTAACCGCACAGGTATTCTGTCCATCCCCATGTAGACAGTTCCAGTGACATCAATTTGGAAGCAGTGGGCACATGGACACAGCTACTACTCCCCATCTGACATCTGTGCAGGTCCATGGACTCAATATGCAGATAGTGTGAGTTGGGGGGGGGGGGGACACACTAATACGAATATCAAATCGGGAGCAGTGGTTGTGTTTGTGCAGCTGCTGCATCTCAATTGATATCAATGGAAGTGACTGCGCAGGGTGCATGGGACACGTCTGCATTCCAGTGTGGGTAAACATGGCCCTCATAAGAGTGTACGCTGTAGTGTGAATGAGGCTTTACTGATTACAACATTTTGGCTGGAGTTCAGCTTTCATTTTTTAGTCAATATCACCTAAAGAGACACCCTGAGACAGGAAGCGTGGTAGGGGCTGGATCACTGTGTAAAAGTAAAGCAACAAAAAAGCCTATAAAAAGAAAACTAAAGCAGCCACCACATATATTAAATACCGCTTTGATGGGGACCTTCATACACCAAAAAAAATAAAACAAAAAAACACTTTGTACCACTGCAACCCTCCCCCCTCTATAAACGTAAAACACTCCCCTGTATCCATTCTCACCTGGAAGAGAACTACATGTACCCAGCTTCAGAATTCTGCATGTCAGATATCCCGGAAGCCATCAGCTTCCACCTAGTGGTTGGAGGCCAATGGACCTGGCAGAGTGTCACTGGGGGCCGGCTGCAATAATCAGGAAGAGACAGCCAGCATCTGATGACATAGGGAAGATGGCTGTGCAGAACCTGGTGTGCAACAGCAGAGCAGTGCATTATAGGTGCAGGACCTGGCGTGCAGCGGCAGAGCAGTGCATTATAGGTGCAGGACCTGGTGTGTAGCAGAGCAGTGCATTACAGGTGCAGGACCTGGCGTGTAGCAGAGCTGTGCATTATAGGTGCAGGACCTGGTGTGTAGCAGAGCTGTGCATTATAGGTGCAGGACCTGGCGTGCAACAGCAGAGCAGTGCATTACAGGTGCAGGACCTGGCGTGCAGCGGCAGAGCAGTGCATTATAGGTGCAGGACCTGGCGTGCAACAGCAGAGCAGTGCATTACAGGTGCAGGACCTGGCATGGCATGTGCATTATAGCAGGACAGAGCAGTGCATTATAGGTGCAGGACCTGGCGTGCAACAGCAGAGCAGTGCATTATAGGTGCAGGACCTGGCGTGCAGCAGCAGAGCAGTGCATTATAGGTGCAGGACCTGGCGTGCAGCGGCAGAGCAGTGCATTATAGGTGCAGGACCTGGCGTGCAGCAGCAGAGCAGTGCATTATAGGTGCAGGACCTGGCGTGCAGCGGCAGAGCAGTGCATTATAGGTGCAGGACCTGGCGTGCAGCAGCAGAGCAGTGCATTATAGGCGCAGGACCTGGCGTGCAGCGGCAGAGCAGTGCATTATAGGTGCAGGACCAGGCGTGCAGCGGCAGAGCAGAGCATTATAGGCACAGGACCTGGCGTGCAGCAGCAGAGCAATGCATTACAGGTGCAGGACCTGGCGTGCAGCGGCAGAGCAGTGCATTATAGGTGCAGGACCAGGCGTGGCACAGCAGTGCAGTGGCACAGCAGTGCATTATAGGCACAGGATCTGGCGTGCAGCGGCAGAGTAGTGCATTACAGGTGCAGGACCTGGCGTGCAGCAGCAGAGCAGTGCATTATAGGTGCAGGACCTGGTGTGCAGCAGCAGAGCATTGCATTACAGGTGCAGGACCTGGCGTCCAGCAGCAGAGCAGTGCATTATAGGTGCAGGACCTGGCATGCAGCAGCAGAGTAGTGCATTACAGGTGCAGGACCTGGCGTGCAGCAGCAGAGCAGTGCATTATAGGTGCAGGACCTGGCATGCAGCGGCAGAATAGTGCATTACAGGTGCATGACCTGGCGTGCAGCGGCAGAGCAGTGCAATATAGTTGCAGGACCTGGCGTGCAACGGCAGAGCAGTGCATTATAGGTGCAGGACCTGGCGTGCAGCAGCAGAGCAGTGCATTATAGGTGCAGGACTTGGCGTGCAGCAGCAGAGCAGTGCATTATAGGTGCAGGACCTGGTGTTCAGTGGCAGAGTAGTGCATTATAGGTGCAGGACCTGGCGCGCAGCAGCAGAGCAGTGCCTTATAACACCACAATGCTGAGTTTGCTGGATGTGCGATTGTGTTATTTAAAGGCTAAGTTCACCTTTTCATACGTAGAAAATGAAGAGGTGAATCAGCTCACAGGATGTCCTCACTTTCAGCTGTCATTTTCCCTGGCTGCAGTGGCTGGGGAAGAAGCAAATGGAGCACAACCTGGGCTCTATTAGCTTTAGTAGAGCACAGGGGAGACAATAGCGTCTAACAGACCCCTAATATCTCAGTAAAGAGAACCTGTCAGAGCAAAATTCTGTCACATATGTGGCTTGTCAGCCTATCACTTTTCAATGTACATTGCATTGTACTGGATGTTAACACACCTTATAACACATATCAATGCTTGTTGACATGCATTATGGTGCATTTACATATATTATGATGTGCTTCTTAACACATGCTTTGGTATGAGTTTTTACGTGTTTCCACAAACCTCTCCCTGACAACCCACCATGTGCTATTAATGCAGTTATGGAGAGGAAGAGAGAAAAAGGCAGATAATCAGAGAGGTGCAGGGCCTGCTCCCTGCTCTAACCTCTCCTTGGAGAGGGAAATTACGGAATGAATATCTTTCCATCATTCCTTTCCTCTCGATTTTATGATGTCAATTCATGTTTGGTTGTTAGGAAAATAACAACCCCATGAACCTCATGGGCTAATGAAGTGAATTTGAGGATGAATTGCTCCACAGTACATACAGCTACACATATCAGTGATAGTATGTTTTAAACCTTTTTTACTGCTAATTGGAATAATAGAAATACTTGTATGTCCTGGCTTCAGGTTCACTTTAAGCTGCCAAAAAGGTCTGTACCAGTAGCTTACAGTTTTCCATTTTGCACATTCCCAGTGTAAGGAAGTGTTGGTCTGTGTACTCACATCCTGAATTTCTTGAATGTACGGGTCTTTCCATTCGAATACCACAAAGAACAATTGGTCCCCCTTGTCAGCAGCTGGTCTTCGATCAATGTAATTCACCACACTTGTCTGCAATCACCAATAAAAAAAAACATTCTATTTACTATGCAGTAGTAACTGGCCCATGTATATATATTAAATAGAAAAGATACATACGCATATGATATGATTTCAGTATCTAAAATCTTTCCACAATATATACAGAACAACACATGGATATCTTAATGATTGTTCACATGAGTGGCCAGGAGGCGGTAAAAAGCAGGTGATGGAGCCATGGTTTTACCACCTCCCCCCCCCAAATGCCCACCTAAAGAAGGGCATGCAGCTGCTCTGGGCTATACACATGCCATGGCTGCAATGCTTTGTTTTGCAGCCATGACAAAGAATCAATTGCATGTTGCATTCAGTGGACTGTACTGCCAATGAAGAAACTCCCTTTTAGGTGTATGGGCCGCACCACATCTGCCCTGCAACAATACAATATAGATGTTTCTAATACTACAACATGATGCACCACCAATACAGGGAGAGCTCAGCATATGGGGGAAGAAAGCACTTCTGATGGAGGGTTGACATGGGGCAAGGGTGTCAAACTGGCGGCCCTCCAGCTGTTGCAAAACTACAAGTCCCATCATGCTTCTGCCTTCGGAAGTCATGCTTGTAACTGTAGTTTGGCAACAGCTGGAGGGCCGCCAGTTTGACACTTGTGACATGGGGGGATGCAATGTACCCCTCATATGGATGGAATTGCAGGTAGGTCTCAAACATTCTACTGCCAATTCCTGTCTTAAAGTAGTTTTAAAATAATTAAAACACAAATTTATATTCTGATCTATAAAAACCTATCTTTAAATAATACAAAGTTCTCAATTTAAAAAAACAGCACTTATATACAGTTGTGGCCAAAATTATTCAACCCCCACTGAAATTGAGTGTTTTGGCCAGTTTGACATTGCTTTTGATCATTCAGTCATCTTGCTTACATTTACATTAAAGAGGCACTTGTAGGTCAGACAAATATAACATAACAGTTATAATGAAATAACCACAAATGTCTTTTCTGTGCTCACAGCATTATCAGTTTTATTCAACCCCCAAGTGACATTCAATCTTAGTACTTAGTACAGCATCCTTTTACAGTTATAACAGCTTTTAAACGTGAAGCATAGCTTGACACAAGTGTCTTGCAGCGATCTACGGGTATCTTCGCCCATTCTTCATGGGCAAAGGCCTCCAGTTCAGTCACATTCTTAGGCTTGCGCACTGCAACTGCTTTCTTTAAGTCCCACCAGAGGTTCTCAATCGGATTTAAGTCTGGTGACTGCGATGGCCACTCCAAAATGTTCCAGCCTTTCCTCTGCAACCATGCTCTAGTGGACTTGGAGGTATGCTTGGGATCATTGTCCTGTTGAAAGGTCCAACGTCTCCCAAGCCTCAGGTGTGTGACGGACTGCATCACGTTTCCATCCAATATCTCCTGGTACTGAAGAGAATTCATGGTACCTTGCACACGCTGAAGCTTCCCTGTACCTGCAGAAGCAAAACAGCCCCAAAGCATGATTGACCCTCCACCATGCTTCACAGTAGGCAAGGTGTTCTTTTCATCATAGGCCTTGTTCTTCCTCCTCCAAAACATAGCGTTGATCCATGGGCCCAAACAGTTCTAATTTTGTTTCATCAGTTTACAGAACACTATCCCACAACTTTTGTGGTTTGTCCACATGGCTTTTGGCATACTGCAGTCGACTCTTCTTATTCTTTGGAGACAGCAAGGGGGTACGCCTGGGAGTTCTGGCACGGAGGCCTTCATTACGCAGTGTGCGTCTTATTGTCTGGGCTGAAACTTCTGTACCCACATCTGACAAATCTTTTCTCAGTTCCTCAGCAGTCACACGGGGACTTCTCTCCACTCTACGCTTCAGGTAGCGCACAGCAGTCGAAGTCAGCATCTTCTTTCTGCCACGACCAGGTAGCGTTTCAACAGTGCCCTTTGCCTTGAATTTGCGAATGATGCTTCCTAAGGTGTCTCTTGGTATGTTTAACATCTTTGCAATCTTCTTATAGCCATTGCCCTTCCTGTGAAGAGAAATCACCTCTTCTCTTGTCTTCCTGGACCATTCTCTTGCCTTCACCATGTTTGTAACCACACCAGTAAATGTCTAGAAGGAGCTGAGTATCACAGTCATTTTAAAGCTGCCTAATTGGTGCTTATTATGCTTGATTGCTGCTCGGTGACATCCACAGGTGTTTTCAATACCTGATGGAAAGCACCTGTATGAACCTCTGTTCTTCAGAGTGGTAGTCTTTAAGGGGTTGAATAATTGTGGCAATGAAGAAACCACATAAGAACCATTTACTACTGTATTACATAAACAATTGATGTCATTTTAGTTGCATTTGGGTAGTTACAACGTCCTTGTAGGATTTGATTCTGAATACAATTCCAAATGTACACTATAGTCCCTAAACCCCTTTACAGCATTGGGGGTTGAATAATTTTGGCCACAACTGTATGTACCTTTTTAATAGATGCTAGATCCTGGTCACATGACTTGGCTTCTTCAGCACATCATTGCATGTTTTTTCTCACTGATGCCGGGCCCGTAACATTTTCTGCCCTCATTGGCCGTAATCCGGCCCCCTTAAAGTCTCAAGGTCAGTAAACTGGCCCTTTTGTCTGAAACGTTTGGAGACCCCTGATAGAGGGAAGTTGTTTTGTAGTTTACAGACATTAGCTGGGAAAGCTGATAACAAGTTCAACTCACAGCAAGTTACAAGGGAAGCAGATGGTATTTTTGGTATTTGAAGAACTAAACCACAATGAAAATTATGCAATCACCGCATCTGAAGGACTGGCAAGATGCAATAAAAGTGTTTTCAAACCGGCCCCAACTGTAGGTGAAATCCAAATGAAACCTGAGCTAGGAGAACTATGCCGGCTGCCACTGATAAAAATGATAGACGCTTGCCTGTCTCTGGGTTCAATACTTTTGGAGCCACAGACCTTGAACAAGCATGCAGCAAGTAAAATCAGGTTGCAGTTAAAACCTTTTATTTGCATTCTTGACAGGTCAGAAACTCAGAAATGATTGAAGCCACTAAATTACCATGACAACCCGGCAACTGTCACTTTCCAAATTGAGGTCAGTCACAGCGGCTTATATATTTATCTCAGTATGGATTTCCTTTAGCTGAACCCTGAGTCTGTTCGATCTCCCACCTCCTGTCTGAATTCTACCGATTGGCTTCCATCTTCCTCCGTTGACTTCACAAGAGACATTTTCACCCAAGTGCGGAATCCCCCGGAGAACTTCCAGCTGGAGAATGAACTCTCACAATCTTGCATGAACTTTGTTTGATTTGCACTGCAAATAATAATGGAAGAAATGAACTCATCACAAAGTGTATCAGTTTTGCCAGATTTCTTCTAGCTTCCTGTTTTGCATCTGGAATAGGAAGGGAAGAAAAAATGTCCTCAAAGGTATGCAAAGATACAAAAATGGCAGTTGTTTTAAAGCCCAAGTTCAAGAATTGGAAAAAAAATCTACCCAGGCAGTGGGGTTAATTGCTCATTATGTGTAGGAAGTACTGACAAAGGCTGTATTACATACCCTATCCCATGCTCCGACCAGCATTCTTTCTCCTAAAGCTCTGGACTGTGGACGGGCCCTTGACCTCATCACATAAGATGCATGGCTATAAAGGCTTGTTCACCTACAGGTATGACCGAGCATGGCTGTGTTCCTGCACATTGCACGTAGGGCAGGCCAATCATTTTATTGAGTTGCCCTATGTGCAAGAAACACAGAAAAGAAACTCCTGACTCTTTTTCAAAAATACTCTTCACCTGTTTGGTGTACGTGTTTGCAAATGCATGGAGGTGCCATTAACTAAAGGGGCAACACATGTGTGGAAGGTGTGCAAGATTGCAATATGAACTTATCCTTCTGTGTGGTGGTGGCGAGTCATGAAAGACTTCGAGAGGAGCCTATGGGGGAACGGTCACACCTCTAGAGGGACCATGCTGGAGCATGGAATGAGGTAAAGTTGTGCTCAAACGTTTGCATCCCCTAGAAGGAATCGTGAAATGTTGGCATTGATATTGAAAATATGACTGATCATGTGAAAAAACTGTCTTTTAATTTAAGGATCATATGCAGCCATTTATTATCACATAGTTGTTTGGCTCCTTTTTAAATCATGAGAACAGAAATCACCCAAATGGCCATGATCGAAAGTTTTCATACCCTGGAATGTTTGGCCTTGGTACAGACACACAAGGTGACACACACAGGTTAAAATGCCAATTAAAGATTAATTTCCCACATTCGTGGCTTTTTAAATTGCAATTAGTGTATGTGTATAGTCAATGAGTTTGTTATTTCTCAAGTGGAAGCACTAAGCAGGCTAGATACTGAGCCATTGGGAACAGAAAAGAACTGTCAAAAGACCTGCATAACAAGGTAATTGAACTTTATAAAGATGGAAAAGGATATAAAAAGCTATCCAAAGTCTATGTATGCCAGTCAGTACTGTTCAATCACTTATTAAGAAGTGGAAAATTCGGTTATCTCTTGATACCAAGTCAAAGTCAGGAAAGATTGCAGCCACAACTGCCAGAAGAATTGTTCAGGATACAAAAAAAAACTCACAGGTAACCTCAGGAGAAATACAGTCTGCTCTAGAAAAAGATGGCGTGGTTGTTTCAAGGAGCAGAATATGACGATACTTGTACAAAAATGAGCTGCATGGTTGAGTTGCCAGAAAGAAGCCTTTACTGCAGCAATGCCACAAAAAAAGCCCGGTTACAATATGCCCAATAACGTCTTGACACGCTCACAGCTTCTGGCACACTGTAATCTGGAGTGATGAGACCAAAATAGAGTTTTATAGTCACAACCATAAGCGCTATGCTTGGAGAGGGGTCAAAAAGGTCTATAGTGAGAAGATAACCATCCCCACTGTGAAGAATGGTGGTGGCTCACTGATGTTTTTTGGGCAGTGTGAGATCTAAAGGCATGGGGAATCTTGTTAAAATTGATGGCAAGATGAACGCAGCATGTTATCAGAAAATACTGGCAGACAATTTGCATTCTTCTGCACAAAAGCTACACACACTAGGACACTCTTGGACTTTCCAGCAGGACAATGCACAAGGTCAAGTTGTCCCTCCAGTGGTTACAGCAGAAAAAGCTGAAGGTTCTGGGGTGTCCATCACAGTCTCCTAACCCTAATATTATCAAGCCACTCTGGGGAAATCTCAAATGTGCGGTTCATGCAAGATGACCAATGACCTGGAGACATTTTACCAAGTAGAATGGGCAGCTATAACACTTGCAAGAATTCGGGGCCTCATAGGAAACTATTACAGAAGACTGCACACTGTCATTGATGCTAAAGGGGGGGCAATACACCAGATTAAGAACTATGGGCATGCAGACTTTTGAACAGGGGTCATTTCATTTGTTCACTTGTTGCCATGTTTTGTTTTATGACCCACCATTTAATATGAATCCCATAAGAAATAAAAAATGTGTTCTCCAAGGGTATGCAAACTTTTGAGCACAAGGGTATGTATATGTCCCTATTCTAGCACCCCTAGACATAAGTAGCATTTAACCCCTGCTGTGTGGGGAGGGCCTGCTGTGGGTGAGGAGCACTGCAAAGGTTTTTTTTTTTTTCTTTTTGTGCCCAGAGTTGGGCTTTAACCCTTCCCTACGCACTCCAAAAAACCCCAACATTTGGCTATAGGTACTTTAACACATGTCCCATCAGTGTATATTCCGGACAGATTCCTGACTCTGATGTAAAGGAGCCATGTCAGCCCCTAGCATGCAGCACACTCAGGTGTATATGACTCTTGCCAATAATATCAATATAATAACAGATGGATCCATGGGCAGCACAAACACCAACTGCAGTCTATGCCAAGGAAAATGGGTTCTCTTCCCTGCCTGGCACAGGTCTGGGCATGTGGTCCTGTTTACACAGACATTAATGTTATCAACTAAATATAAACACTCTTTTCATCATGATCATCTTTCTAAATTTCAACTACGTCAAAGTCCTAATGCCAGAGATGAAGAACCTGCTGAGCACAAAGAACCCATTGAGATGGCGGTGAACGTTTTATCAGAAGACAAGGGAAGATTGTTTTCATGGTGAGATGATTGAGATACAGGCACGGGCCTGGAAACCTGCACAATTCCTCCAATGTCATACCATCCGTATGGAAGAAACCATGACAAAAACAGTGCAGGCAGGATGGAAGAGAACCTCTAAAGGCTGAGATACAAGGACTGACCTTCTTCTAAAAATACCAGTTGGCTGGCTGTGTCTGGTATCAGGACTTGCTGTGGCACTGACCCAGAACAAGTATGCGGATCAGAACGTCAGAAAGCCAGATCTGCATACTTGATCTAGGCCAGTGCATTAGAAACCGCATATATGACTGGACCAGAATGACAGCCAAGCAACTAGCATTGTACCACCTACCTGCACTGACAGAACTGCTACACTGTGTCGCCTGTCTGCATTGACAGAGCTACTTCATTGTACCACCTGCCAGAATTGGTACATTGTACCACCTACCATCACTGCCTGAACTGCTACATTGTACCACCTACCAGCACTACCTGAACTGCTACATTGTACCACCTACCAGCACTGCCTGAACTGCTACATTGTACCACCTACCAGCACTGCCTGAACTGCTACATTGTACCACCTAACAGCACTGCCTGAACTGCTACATTGTACCACCTACCAGCACTGCCTGAACTGCTACATTGTATCACCTACCAGCACTACCTGAACTGCTACATTGTACCACCTACCAGCACTGCCTGAACTGCTACATTGTACCACCTACCAGCACTGCCTGAACTGCTACATTGTACCACCTAACAGCACTGCCTGAACTGCTACATTGTACCACCTACCAGCATTGCCTGAACTGCTACATTGTACCACCTACCATCGCTGCCTGAACTGCTACATTGTACCACCTACCAGCACTACCTGAACTGCTACATTGTACCACCTACCAGCACTACCTGAACTGCTACATTGTACCACGTACCAGCACTGCCAAATCGACTGTATTGTGCCACCTACCAGCACTGCCTGAACTGCTACATTGTACCACGTACCAGCACTGCCAAATCTACTGTATTGTACCACCTACCTTCACTGCCAGAACTGTTGCATTGTACCATCTACCTACATTAACAAAACTACTGTATTGCACCACCTAACTGCACTGCCAGAACTGTTGCATTGTTCCACCTACCTGCACTGCTGCACTATACCACATACATGCATTGCCTGAACTACTGAATTGAACAACCTGTCTGCACTACCAGAACTGCTACACTGCACCACCTACCTGCACTGCCAGAACTGCTTACACTGCACCACATACCTGCACTGCCAGAACTGCTACACTGCACCACATACCTGTGCTGCCAGAACTGCTACACTGCACCACATACCTGCACTGCCAGAACAGCTGCATTTTACCATCTACCTACATTGACAAAACTACTGCACTGTACCACCTACCTGCACTGCCAGAACTACTGTATTGCACCACCTACCTACACTTCCAGAATTACTACATTGTACTACCTATCTACACCGCCAGAGCTGGTACACTGTTCCACCTACCGGCATTGCTAGAAAATACTAATTTGGATGTCATCTGGCAATCAGTGTGTCTTATTTCTTGTCTGTGATGTTTGATGTATTTGTATCTGTTGGCAGTAGAGAGTTCTTACCTAGTTAGGAAATTCTGAAAAGATGAGAAGAGTAAGTAGTCGATAGCGCTGAAGTCTTGTTCTGTCTCATTAAGGTGGAACTGCAGATAGACCAGCTCTCTCTTCCGCACTTCACGAGGGCCATTAACAATGAGCGCATGCTTCTACAAAACACAATATTCACACAGAATATCTTAATCAGAATGTAACGGAAATAAGAATCATCCAAAGACATGCCTGCGTCCCTCCAACTGCCTATACAGAAAGTATATAGTACAGGTTTAGGGAGCGGATATTTGGAGTTAGTATTAAAGTGGAACTTTTGCTGTGACTTGACTATTTACAGGCTTGCTCTTATCATTTCTATATTGTTTCCAATGAATTGTCTGACTCATAGACCTACATTGTGAGAATTGACTCCCAGGTATTATTTCCCTTTAAGAGAAGCAAAGTTCTTTGTTACTGTGGCTCAATGCTGTCATCTAGTGGAAGTCTCAGCAAATTACACCATTCATTTGTAACACTCTTAAAGTACAATTGTCACAAGAAAAATATAAAGACCTTCTTTGTCCTCCTTTAGAAAATGCCGGTTATCTGGCTTTGTCCAGCTTCTGTACTTCTAAGTCACTAACCCAAGCACGTGGAAAATGAAAATCCGTCCATATTTCTCTTTCTATGCTTGTGCATGGTGAATGACTCAAAGGGACTAATTTACTGAAGGCAAATAGTCTTTGCACTTTTGAAAGTGCAGTTGCTCCAGCAATGAGTAAATGAGCTAAAACTTCATTTTGCAGAAAAATACCCAATCAAATGCAAAAAAAAAAAAACAGCATTTTTGCTTGCACATGATTGGATGATGGAAGTCACCAGAGCTTCCCCTCATTCACTAAGCTCTGGAGCAACTGTACTTGCAGAGTGCACAGTCTATTTGCCTTTAATAAATCAACCCCAAAGTATTGAAGCCAATGCATTAGTATGGCAATTAGCATTCTCAGAAGGAGGCAGTTTGCATGTTTCCCTCTTCACAGGGTTATTTCAAACTATCACACTTTTTACTGATCGTCCCCTATTGTTTGCTTGTTCAGACCTGACCGGAGTTTACAATATGCTTTACTGATAATCTAAGCATTATGAAGGGTCAGTAGTGGTGTAAAATTGAACAAAAACACATCTATCAGTACAAAAAATGGCCTCTGCCCCAGTCTATAATTGGCTTTTGCAGAAAGGACAAATGAACAGGCAACGCATGTCAAAAGAGAAAAAGAAAGTTCCCAGCTCAACTTGCCAGCCAGCTTGCCAACAACCGAATTAACCTGTCTAATAGTATACATTAAAAACTGGGGTTTAGTTAGCACACGTTTGCAAATACGTACATAAGCCACAAAGCCAGGTCACGGCACCCCGATATTCTGTGGTCCTAACTCTACAAATGTTGAGAGCCCCCATAGTAGAGGCACATGTATTTAATGGATAGACCAAGGGCAGGTGAACCTGAGGGAGCCCACCCCTCTTTAACATGCACAGGAGCGCACTGGACACCCAGCATGCAGCACAATGGCTGCCAGAGTGTCCTAGTGCACCCACTTACCTATAATTTAACAGTACAAAAACTGGCCGCTGCCCCAGTCTATAACTGGCTTTTGCAGCAAGGACAAATGAACAGGCAACGCATGTCAAAAGAAAAAAGAGAAAGAAAGTTCTCTTATTAAGAAAAGCCCACAGCATTCCTATCCTGGTTTTTATTTTACATTAGGAAAAATGCAGCAGAATGAATGAGACTTTACAGCAACAGTGGGAAAGACTAATGCAGGCCAAAGATGGGGAGAAAACTGGCCGATTTTTCTTTAAAAAAACGAAAAATCGGTTGTTCAATCGGCCGACGTTACCAGGAACGGTAAAAAAAAAAAAAAAAAAAAAATCAGCCGATTTTCATCCTGTCTACAGCCGGCAAAAAGTGTCCCTGCAGAGAGTTCTGCGATTTCTTTGACAGTTCTTTGACATTTATAGCGGCTGCAACAATGTATCTATTTGTATTCATTTCAGATACAGATGTTTTTATTCGGAAACAAATAGATACATTGTTGCAACCACTATAAATGTCAAAGAACTGTCAAAGAAATAGCAGAGCTCTCTGCAGGGACACTTTTTGCTGGACTGGAATTCTTATTCTTCATCCTCTTCATCTTCTTCATCTTCTTCATCTTCTTCTTCCTCTTCATCCTCTTCTTCTTCTTCATCCTCTTCTTCTTCTTCTTCTTCTTCTTCTTCTTCCTCCTTCTTCTTCTTTCTCTTCTTCTTCTTCTCTCTTCTTCTTCTTCTGCATCCTCTTCTTCATACTCTTCTTCTTCTTCATCTTCATCCTCTTCTTCTTCTTTTTCTTTTTGTCTTCCTCTTGCAGGTCACTGCTCATGCACAGATTTTTTAATCGGTAAAAAGATCGGCCGATTTGCCCATCATTACTGCGAAAATTGGGCCGATCGGCAAAATCGGCCGATTTTTTTCAATCTTTACTGGTGAAAAAAATCTGCCAAAATACCGAAAAAACGGCCGACCTATTAACCCACTAACGATCCAAAAATCGGCCGATTTTCGGCCGAAAAATCCCATTTTCTATTGCCTGCATAATGGAGGATCTGGGCTCTTATCAACCTAAGTTTACTGTACCATGTCTCAGGGCTGCCGTTAAAAATCACGGGGCCCCGTACAGCTTACCTGACAGCCCCCCCCCCCTACCACCACCACCTTTGAAAATATCAAAACAATACTTTCACTATAAATACACTAAAATCATAATTAGCGGACACAAAGCTACTGTAACATAACTTACAAGATTCTGAAAGCTAAAACTGTATTATGTTAATAAAGCTGTGTGTGTAAATGAGGTCTTGGGGGTCATTCACGTCACCACTGCAGTCTGATCACAGGACTTCTTCTTCTTCAGCTGGGAATGGAAGATCCCAGCGGCTGTTTCTTTTTCCGCCCAGCTAAGTATATGACAGCGATCTGAACCTACTGGAGTTTTAATAAAGCTTTTCAACATTTTATACAGCACTGTGGGCTTGCATGGTCTCTCTTCCCTCTATAGTGCAAGTGCATACCTGACTGCATACAAATAGAAAGTGTTTGGGTTTGACTTCATATTATACGGTTTTGGTAAATCTAAAGGAAAGTTGTATAGTGTATGGCCAGTCAAATTCCAAAATAGGTCCGCTTTACTTTTGATTGACAGCACACAGTAGTGGGCAAACCCATAGCCAATATTCAAGTCCAATAGTGGCTTTCGAATGTGCCCACTGATGTGTGCTGTCAATCAAAAGCAAAGGGGACCTGATGAAGATCTAGTCTCACAGTTCCACCATCAGCATCTCCCACCCAAAACCTAAACTTTTTGTTCCTAGGTTTAAATAATATGATGAAGGGTTAGAAACCCTGTTAAGATTTAAAGATGATTTCCGGGCATTTATATTTTATTTCATAGTTGTAACTATGCATATGCTATATCCGGCCGATGCTTCCATTTTCTGAATAAATGCACAGCATTCACTGATTGGACGAGGTGGAGAAAACAAAGTCCCCGCCCAGTCTCTCCACCTCATCCAATCAGAGACCATTTTGCATTCATTCAGGAAATGCAAAGCATTCTCTGATTGGCACCGTGCCAAGCAGCTGCCCTCCTGTGCTCAGAATGCATCAGGCCATGCGCTCAACACAGGACTCGGAAGCAAGTGGCAATCATTGGAGAAGTGGTGTCTGCTTCAGTGATTTCCAGCTTCCAGGGAAATCTGCCAGCAGTGGTATATACAGCAGTACATTGGTCCAAGCTGGTTAAATGTAACTATGTATAAAATATCCACACCTGGAATTCCTCTTTAATTGCTGTCTGTGCGCCTTCTAAGGAGATTCACCCTTGCTATTTGTCCTGGGACTGAAAGGGAGGGAAAATTCAAAAAGTCGATACAAAAACACAAAAAAAACCCATAAACCCATAAAATCTTCCAATAGGGACAGTTATTCTGGCTAAATTGTTCTACGAGAGAATTCTCCTCAGTTAGAGGGGATAAGCAGTATTCTCACTTCCTGTTGTGTCTATGGGACAGAAAGTGAAGGGAAATCTCCCCTCAACTATATCACAAAATAATAAACACAGTTCTGGCTGTAGCCACACTTTAAAAGTGGGCTTGAACTCAAAAAGATGAGGGTGATTTTCCTGTGCCTTAAGCCTCATATCTGTTAATTCTGCAGGCGACTATTGTTCTGATCACAGTTCTCCTTGCTGGGGAGGAAGCTGTACCTGAGCACCTACAGTGCAAGGATCTCCCTGCTTCAACTTTTGTGGATCTGTGCTTCCTCCACCTCTGCAAAAGTCATTAAGGGGGCAGCACTTACATGAGTAAGCAAAGCCCAGCCTCTACCAGGATGGCTGACACCACGAACAGACACTGAATAGAACAAGGTGTAGTAAGTCACTAAGAGTGATCATCCCAGGCCTAGATGCAGGTATATGTCTTAAGGACACAGTGTGCAATTGGGGCTGAGTACCTGCTCCTGCACGACTGTCAAATTTTGACATGCATCCATGCATCTACTTTCATAAGCTGCCTGCACACAGCTGAGGGTGGATGCAAAAGCCAAAACAAATGCCTCTTGCATGCAGCATGGGTAGCAGCATCCATCTGAATGAGGTCTTACACATGTGTTTAGCCCTTCCCTTGCTTAAGGGGCTTTGGATAAAGTTATTATATTATTTTTTTTTAAAAGCCAAGATTTCAACTTTAAAAACACAGATTCAGACAAAAACAGACATTTTATGTATTTGGAGAAACTGACTTTGGGACTGGAACAATCATTTAGATGATAATGAAACGTGATTAAATAACAACAACCATGTTATGGCAGAAAGTCCGTTCCAGAATCCTCTGACGCATTTAAGATTAGCTGAACAAATCTGAGGACTTTAACAGTTCCACTACATCTGCCATTATAGAAGAGCGCAAGGCAAATATTAAAATAAAACCCCCAAAAAATGTTAAAAAGAAGTTATATTGTATTTTTAGTGAAGGCAAAATGTGGGTTATGATTGCAGTATTTACCTTAAAAGCTGAATCCACCTTTTACAAAAAAGTTAATTAATTCAAATATAATGGCACCAAAAAATAAGTATTTATTTATTTTTTGCAAATGAGCCTTTAAAGCTTTGCAAACGGGTTGGGGGTCCAAGTTGCACCATGTTACATCCTAAATATGGGTGGTCCAAAAGGTGGAGTTAGCCTTCCAGACTGTCACTATCCAGTAACAAAGGTTTTTTTTTTTAACCATTTGTCTCCCATTGTGGAAAATAACCTTCCCCAAGGGACCCAATGGGAAGCGAGAGGAGACTGCGCTAAACTAATGGAAATGTCCTCTTAGAGAGTGGTCACCAGAACAAATGTGCGCATCTGAAGGAAGATTTCCCTTCTATCCCTGTTTCAGTAACAAATAACATTTTTGGATATTCTCAAACTTGACATTGGTCACTAGAACAAAAAGAAAGAGTGAATCTCACCAGTGGTGACTGCATTGAAAAACCTGACAGAGGTTCTAATCTGAACCAACTATTCAAAACCTACACCCTTTAAAGCATATCTAAACCCAAGAACAATTTTATATGTGGCAGCTTACCAGTCCATAGACATATGGTGGTTGCATTGAACAAGAACTAAAGGCAAAACATTTTTTTTTCTTCCATTTTGGATACAGTAAGTAAGTAGGGTAAGTAACCCCTTTCAAGTAAGTTTTTTGTTTCATATGTGTCCAATCAGGGAGATATCCCCTCACTTCCTGTCCCATAGCCAAAACAGGAAGTAAGAGCAAATCACTCCAAAGTGGGACCTTCACTCTATCCAAAACAAAAAAAAAAAAAGTTTTCCTTTAGTTATACTTTTAATTATATTTTTTCCTTTCTTTTCACCCGGAGATCCTGCCAGTAGCAAACTTCCTGCCCTAGGGTGGCAATGCTCACTCACCATATTGTATTTATGAATACAGAGTCCAAAGTTGGGCATTAAAGCAAAGCTCCCTTAGATACATAGAGAAGAGACTGAATTACCATGGTCTGGTTGGTGAACGGGTCAATGTAGTTGATCTTCTGGGTCACACAGCGGTTCTCTCCAGGCTGGCCGGGGTTTTTTAGTGGCGGGATGTGATCATACAGATGATGCTCACAGCTTAGTAGTTCAGCTTTACCCGGATACAGAGCAATACCTGTTACAATAAAAAATTTAAAAGACTTTATTTTAAAAAACTTCATTGGGTACCACATTATAATCAAGAACTAAAAAACATTAAGGAAAAAGTGTTTTTTTTTTCAGTGTCCTCATGCCTATAACTGTCAGGTTCTTATGCAGTTAAATGGTATGTTCTTTCTTGTGTGATGATTGGCTGTTCAGACCTCAGAAATGTCGCCAGGGGGCCGGGAAAGAGTCCTCCGTCCTGTGTACGCTACAAGCCACAACTACTACAATACTATTCCAAAATAAAGTGATTTTAAAGGTTCTTTTTTTTTTTTTTTCTTGTAAAATAAAAAACATGTCTATACTTACCTGCTGTGTGTAGTGGTTTTGCAGAGAGCAGCCTGAATCCTGGTCTTCTTGTGTCCCTCGCAGGCTCTGCTGGCTCCTCCTGTCTGTCAGGTGCCCCCACAGCAAGCAGCTTGCTATGGGGGCACCTGCTGCTCCATGTGCCCATTCACACACAGAGCCATGACCTGCCCCCCCCCCACTCCTCATTGGCTGACTGGCTGTGATTGACAACAGTGCGATACAATGGCTCCCGTTTGCTGTCTCAGCCAATGAGTGATTGTTTTTTTTTTTTCCCTACAAAAGTGAAGTTATTTTAAATAAATGCTAGATAAAATTATCCATAAACATCTAATTATCCTAAAATTGACAATATAAAAACACATGCACCCTATATAATTGCATCAGGTGTTTTCCCCTCCGCATAGGAGCTATACAATCACTTAACACACTGTGGTTGATGTTCTCAATTTCTTCAAAGTGTGGGGGTTCCACCCTCCAAAGCATGTAGCTGTACATGTTTCATGGTTAGCCGCTTCCTCAGTAAGGTACAAAATACAGACAAAATCAAAGTCAGGCAGACACTGCAGATGCCAGCAGAAATGGCAATCCCTGGACGGGGACGCAACAGCGGGATTTGGCCTCTGGGATTGCAGATACAGTCACTGTCCACTAGTTATTCCCTAATTTCATTGACTACAGAAGGAACAGGTGTCAGGGCCTTAAATGGACGATTTGCTAATCTTGATGTCCAGTGTAGTGATACGCATGAACCCCACAGGTAACCAAAAAGAAATATATGAATTGGGTTCCTCCAAATGTACGAATGGATAAAAACCTCCATATTTGGAACCCTAGTCTCAATATTGGAATAAGATCCTCTCCACTATGGTGTACCAAGGCTGCAAGGCCACACGTCTCTCCCAGGAGTGTGAATCTTATTCCAATATTGAATTAAACACTAAACTAAAAATTTCCCAAACAATTCCAACTTTTCCTTTAATGCATAATAAAAAAAATCTATCTATCTATCTATCTATCTATCTATCTATACACAGTGCTCAGCATAAATGAGCACACCCCAACAGATTGGTCAGAAAACTTTTCCTTTCAGAATCCACATTTTCTATGGGACACTATACAACAAAATACTCCCACAAAAATGTGGACCATTGATTGCAAACAAGATTTGTTAATTTGCACACACAAAAAAGTATCTTTCCTAACAAATTCACTCAAGACCATGTAGCAAAAATGAATACACCCCAATGAAAGTCTTAGGGGCAAAGCTAAATTTTAGACAACAAAATCCTAAGTAACAAGAATTCAACTACAGGTGAGTCTAATTATTCATTAAACAGATGTCCAGATGACAGCTGATTGTAAAAGGGTGTTACTTAACAAAGAAAACCCCGCCCATTTCATGCTGTCAGCAATGGCACCACATGGAAGAGAAATGTCAAAGGCCTGAGAAAGAAAATCATTTCTTTACACAAGAAAGGTGAAGGCTACATTCTTTACTTATCAGTCAGAATACTGTAACAAAAGTGATAGAATAATTTAACAGTGATGGAACAGCAACCATCTCACAGAGATGTCCAGGTGTCCACGGAAGTTAATACCTTGATAGGAGTGTCTTCTGATGAGAAGGGTTGAAGAAAATCACCATGCAAGTTTACTGCAGTTAGCTAAAGAAGTAGAAAGCCAAACTGGGATGAATGTTTCCCGTGACACAATATGGCGTACACTGCAGAGGAATGGCATGCATGGGTGTCACCCACGAAGGAAAACTCCCCTAAATCCCATGCACAATAAAGCCCACCTAGAATTTGCCAGGGCCCATGCTGAAAAAGAAGACTACTGGGACTCTGTACTCTGGAGTGATGAGACCAAGATAAATGTTTTTGGAACTGATGGCTTCAAACCTGTATGGCGTCGCAAAGGTGAGGAGTACAAAGAAAACTGCATGGTGTGTACAGAGAAACATGGTGGTGGCAGTGTCCTTCTGTGGGGCTGCATGAGTGCTGTTGATGTCGGGGAGCTGCATTTCATTGATGGTATCATGAATTCACAGATGTACTGCTCTATATTTAAAGATAAGATGCCACCATCACTACGTGTCCTTAGTCATTGTGCACTTTTCCAACATGACAATGATCCAAAACACACATCTAAGGCCACTGTTGCATTTCTGAAGAAGAACAGGGTGCAAGTGATAAGGTGGCCCAAATATGTCTCCTGACCTGAACCCAATCCAACACCTATGGGGAATTCTAAAGAGACAAGTTGACCATTACTCTCCATCCAGCATCCAGGCTTTAAAAAAGGTCGTTCTTGAAGAGTGAAAAAAAAGATAGATGTTGAAATATGTCACCAATTTGTTCATTCCATGCCTAGAAGACTTGGTGCTGTCCTTACAAATCACGGAAGTCATACAAAATACTAGATGGAGTCGTTTTTGTTGGGGGGTGGATTCATTTTTGTATCAACTAATTTGAGCAAAACTGAAGATTTTTGTAATTTATATTAGTAACCTTATACTGTCATGTAATGAGCTAAAACAATTGTATAAAACTCAGTTTTGTCAAACTTTTGGAAATTGTTCTTGTGTTCATTGAGATACTGATTAAAATCTTATTATTCAAAAGGGGTGTACAGTTATAAGAGGGTGTGCACACTTATGCAACCATATTATTTTAGTGTTTATATTTTTACTTCCCTCCATGTAAAAGATTTCAGTTTGTTGTTTAACTGAGTTGTACAGTTTATAGGTTACATTAAAGGTGGAAAAAAGTTCTGAAATGATTTATTTTTGTCTCACTTTTTTACATCACAGAAACCTGACTTTTTAACAGGGGTGTGTAGACTTTTTATATCCACTGTGTGTATATATATATATATATATATATATATGGTATCTGTCAGTGGGATGAGTGCTAGATCTGAACTTGAGAAGAAATCAAGATCCTCTGGTCCAGGCATAAAGGACCTATCCCTGCACTTTACAAAATTTGAAACATCACTTTAACATGCTAGCCAAAACCATGTTCACCAACCTAACCATTTGACTATCAAGTATAAGATATTTGAGTACAGGCAGATTAGATCTAAAAAAAAATCCCACTTACCAGGAGCCTCATATATATCGACCTCCTTGTATGACACAGACATGACCGGGTGCTTGAGCTTCTCCCTGAAGTCAGTTATGGTTTGGTAGACCAGGAACACAGCGACAGCCATCAGCAGCAAATAGACAAAAATAAGCAGAACCGAGAAGAAATTCTTCAGACAAGTCCTGCTGAAACGTACCGGAGGGCTATTCCTGTCCAACTCTGAATGAGAGTGAGAAACAGAGAGATCAGTGACACCCGACCCAATTGAGTCAAAATAATGTTTATATAGGAACATGTAAGGAAAGCATGAGTGCAATACCAAAGGTTTAGGAGCCCAAGAGTAGAGAAAAAGCCAATGTGCAGCAGGGCCTACGATGTTCCACCTTCATCAGGGCTTCAAGTGCTGCTTTAAATAGAGTGATGGGTGCTTGTGTGAGATTGTCTCAGACGTGGAAGCACACTTTTGGAGGACAGGAGTAAAGCAGCTATTTAATTCTGAATTAAATCACCTTCACAAGTCCATTACTCTACACCAGGGTTTCTCAACCAGGGTTCCTTCAGAGGTTGCAAAGAGAAATTTCTACCTCTTACCAAGTTTCCTGACACCAACGATCCTTTTACCTACCGGTAAGGGGTTGATTCTTCCCAATGACCGCAAGTGTAAGGAGCATTCTTTGCCCTAACCATCACACTAAAGTGTCATGAGTTGTAGATATAATAACAGGGGTTCCCTGAGACTGGAAAGTAATTTCAAGGGTTCCTCTGTGTTGAAAAGGTTGAGAAAGGCATCTCCACACAAAACAACTCTTTAAGCCATAATGATGGAGGAACATTGTTGCCCCCAAACACATTGGCTTGTGATCTGCGGACTTCTGGATTCCAAACCCTTCACTGTAGCATTCATTTTCCCCACACCCTCGAGAATTCACTCAAGGTTGTTCCCAGACTAGTAATAAAGGGGAAGGGGACACTAGTTTTGATGAGTTGGGGGTGCCAATGGGGATTTCCTCTCACTTCCTGTTTTGGCTGTTTAACAGGAAGTGAAAGTAAATCTCCCCAGTAGGACACAGATGCCTAAAATTAAACTTACAGGCAGAGACGGCTCACTAATTAGGCAAGGCATCATGTTCACAGGGGCCTCGTGGCTGCCTATGCTGCCCAGTGCAGCCAGCTACCGGCTTGAAAGTGGAAGTGATACGGCAGCTCCATAGCTGCCAATCACGTTCATGGAGCCAGCAGCACGGTGCTCCCCCCCTCCTGCCAACAGCCGCCCCTCTTCCCATGGTTCCCGGGATCTCCTGCTCCTACTGGAGCCCAGGAACACTACTGCCGGGAGAGCAAATGAATGCCTCGATCTCTCATGCAAGCAGTGAAATCAGAAGTGATGTCTCTTCCAGTTTCAGATGCACCCTTTCTTGGCCAGTACAGCCAGGGGACACATCTAACCAAGCCGATCTGTGGCTGGTTAGATGGTGTGAAGGGCAGGGAAGACATTGGGGTCTATTAGACCCCTAAGAGTACCTGTCACCTTCCCAATGCTATCACATGGAGGTTTATATTACCCCTTGTGATAGCAATCAAGTAAAAATAATTATAACAAGAAAAAAGTTTTAAAACTTAAAATTCTAAATAAAATATATTAAATTAAAAATTGCTGTTACCCCCTTTGCGCCGCACACCTGCGCAAAACACAAACTCATGTCCAGAGTGTGCATGCAAATGGAAACTCCGCACAAGTGACATATTGCCACGAACTTCAGAGTGAGAACAATAATTCTAGCACAAGAAACTAAACTGGTGAGCTGTAAAAGCTTTTAAATTGTCACCTATGGTGATTTTCAGCCACTGTAGCTTTTGGCGATATTGCAGGCGCATGCAATTTTAAGACATGGAATGTTTGGTATCTATTTACTCGATGCAACCTCATCTTTTATACTTTAACCAAAAATGGGTATTCTTTTGTGTTTTTTTTTGCACTAAAATTCTTTTTATTATATTTTTTCCTGAAAATATGCGTTTAATAAACAGTTGCTCAAATATAATTTATATTTATAAATATCACCTTTTTATTATATAATGTTCTACATTAGGAGGGTACTGCACTCATTTCAAGATGGTGGGCAGAGCCTAGCAAAATCATTGCTTTATACCCCAACAGCTAGATGCACATCCAGTTCCACTGGTGGATAGTGTAAATACAGCCTAACAGAGAGTCTTTAGAAACTGCATTTTATTGGCAAAAACTGAGATTTTTTACATGATTGTGAAAAAAAAAAAGTTGCATCCGGAATCAAACTGGCTAATGTTGCTGTGCTCGGGCATCATTAAAGTGGAGCTCCACCCAAAAGGAGAAGTTCCACTTTAAAGACTGGTCCCCCACTCACCATTAAGGATTGGCACCTTTGGGGGGGGGGGGGGTAGTGGGTATCCCAAATTTGACAGGTACCCGTTCCCACTTCCGCTCCGATCGCCTAGGCGAACTGAAGTGGAAGGTGTCCTCCCTTCCTCCCTCCCTGTAGTCTTTTGGGACACGTGACAGGTCCCAGAAGATTACAGGACCATTTAGGAAGCGCAGCGCTACTTGCGCATGCGCGGTGGGTACCCGGCTGTGAAGCTGCAAGCTGTCACAGCCGGGTACCCACACTGAAGATGCCGGCGCCCAGGGAGAGAAGACAGTCGGTAAAACGGGCTGCAGGGGACACCCTGCGGGACCGAGGGACAGGTAAGTGGCTGTTTTTTTAAAAGTCAGCAACTACAGTTTTTGTAGCTGCTGACTTATTTTTTGACAGGGTGAGTGGATCTCTGCTTTAAGAGCCCTGTCTCACTTTATTGGGCTTTGCGACAGCCAAACAGCTGTTTTGCAGTGTGACTTTATTTCAGAGGTGACAGGACACCTTAACGCTGCTATGAGCCCTGTCACACTCACCTCTTACTTAACCTAAGACTTCTGGAGCTCCGTCCGCCAGCCAATGAGGAGTGACGTTGCATCTGAGCACATCACCCCTCCCATCCACCACTCGAGGATCTCAATCTGGGAAGGACTGCTGCATAGCTGATGGACAGGCGTGAGTGGGGTCTCATGTCTAGGTTTTGCCTAGGGCCTCACAAAGCCTACAGCCACCTCTGCTGATGGGTTATAACCCTCTCTTATGCCTATAGTTCTACGTCAATGCCTATTTACTAGGATCAGGCTATACATGAAGCACTACTGCTAATGTACCTCTCTCAAAGCGCCCTCACTCCTCCTTTTCAACTCCACCTAGTGTGCTTGTATTATGTCAGCTCAGCTCTACCTGTTATGTCTTACGACTTCATCAGGGGCACGGAGCAGGTATTGCACTGAACCCTCGTACACTGTGATAAAAGAATCTGATCTTCCAACACGTTCTAATCCACCCCAGTTGTAACCAAGACATGTCTGCAATGTTTCTCTCACCTGGTACAGTAGTACAGGAAGGGTCATCCTGGTCATCCTCTTCTTCCTCCATGTCCTCCAGTATTTCTACATCGTCCTGAGGCTGCTCTGTGTCTTCATTCAACTGCAGAGGAGAAATTAGGTACAGTTTGACTTGTTAGCACCTAAAATGTTTCCTACACTTTTTTCTTTACTTTTTTAATAGACTGTGGAAATGTTCAAATTCCTGTCTAGTTATTGCTGTGTCACAGCCGGGGAGATTCATCTTCTGTTTCTGTTCTACTGACCAACATCACCAGGGCTCGAAGTAAAGAAAAATCCAAAATCTAGAGATGGCACTGGAACAGAAATAGAGAGGAAAGCCTCAAAAGGAGGATATTTGTTCCAGTGACAACAGTAGATTAAGTGGCAATTTAAAAAATTTTTTTAAAAAACACTTTTGAGCCAATGGAATTCACACATAAGTGCACATAATTCACACATTTGAGCCAATAGAATTCACACATAAGACTGCAAGTAGTCCCCAGAAAGGCAGTGGTGTATTTAGCTCATGTGCTGCCTAGACAACACTAAAATCAGGCACTCTCCCCCACACCAGAACCCCCCTCTCCGTGGTCCTGTTATGGGACATTGGCCTCCGCCTTTGTTTTTTAAATTATTATTGCGTATGTTGTGATCTCTGGTTATATTGCCTTTATCTGTTTATTGGCTAGATTGTTTACAGGCCAGCTACTCTACTTTTCTGGTGTTAGGAACCTTTATGGTACACGTCTCTTACAGACCCCATGGCGCCGGGAAGAGTCTATGTGCTCTCCCTAATCGAAAGACTCTCCCCACTGCTTTGCTTTGGGGAAAACTCTTCCATTCCTTGACCTTGTGTCCGGGATATTTGGTATTCTACTGTTTTGTGCCGCATATTATTGTGTTGACACTCGGACTGACGCTAGCCATTTTCTGGGCTCAGTGTCTTTTGTTTCTTTCCTTGACTTCCTTAGTTTTTTTTCATGGTTTTTATTTGAGGGTCATCCTGGGATTTTTTCTTCGGTCCTGGATACTTGATACCTCATACGGGTAGGTGTGTGGGTCTCACCATTGCTGCTTTGAATTTTTTTTCAATATCCACTTTAAGATCTAATAGTTGCGTTGTTCGCTTGCTCTCTCATTATGTGCAAGGATTGGGATCCCCCTCTAAGCGTCCTAAGGTTATTTATCATTATAAGTCCCGAGGAGATGATATAGGAAACCCATTTTGCTTCCGCTTTCGCATCTAGGTATATTCATAAGGATTTCCCTGTATGCTTTTTCACCAACTCATCTGAAAACAAATGAGGGGTGGTGCTCTGTCTATTCTTTATGGAGTCTAAAGTGATATGAGATTAAGAAGGGCGATATCTATTAGTTAAAGGCCACATAGGGGGAAATTTAGTGACTTTTCTGATTTATTACGACCCTAAAATTAATCAATTAGCCTTTTTTCAATCCCTGTTTCAATCTTTATCTCCGGAATTGGAAGGCAGTTATTTTAGCAGGGGACTCGAATTTAGCCTTAGACCAAACGCTTGATAAATCGCATACACCCAAACTTAAATCCCCTTCGAAACAAAGTTGTGAATTTGCACAACTTTTGTATCGCTATCATTTGTTAGATGCTTGGAGAGAGAGGCCAATTCTACTTCTAGAGACTATTCTCATTTTTTTAGAACTCACAACCATTATTTGCGTATAGATCACATCTTTCTCCCTATGGAGCTGCTGCCCAAATTGCGTTCAGCAAAAATCGTAACGATACCCTAGTCAGATCATGACCCGCTGCTGCTAAGACTCTCTAATTTAACTTCCAATCTGGCCAAGCCACATTGGCGATTGAACGAGTCCCTTCT